TTTTCATTCTTTACTCCAGCTCGAGAAAGGACCTCCTAACTAGGTGCCTTGCTCATGGACGTGCCTTGCTCCCAAACTCCCAGTTGGGATTCAGGAGACGGATACCCTCTCTATTTTAAAGATTAGGTGTAAAACCTTTCCTTTTAATAGCTAGGGATTGAGACCTAGCTTTATGACCTAGCTGTCAGCAAAGCTCTGCTGAGGGTGGCGAGATCAGCACAGCGCATCACCAGGACTGAACTACCAGCCGTTGCATGAGGAAGACGCAGCGGATCCTCTCTTATCCCAGCCACAGACTTTTTACACTCCTGCCATCCAGCAGGTGGTTCAGGACCATCCAGACCCGCACTACCAGATACAGAGACAGTTTTTACACACAAGCCATCAGACTTTTGAACTGCTGACATTCTATACACATCATTACACACTCATTACAATTACAGGACTCTACACACTGCCACTTCAAAAATGCCACTTAAATGTTCATTGCACAAGTTTTGCACAACCTGTAAATAACAACTTGTCTTAAATTCACTAAATATTTAATACCTTTTATTCTTAATTTAACTGCACACATGGGGGTTAGTACTGTTTCCTCACAACAGGAAACTCCTGGTTTTGAATTCCTCATCTGGCCTGGGCCTTTGTGAGGTTTGCATGTTCTTCCCATGTCTATGTGGATTCTCTCTGGGTACTCCAGCTTCCTCCCACAGTCCAAAGACATGAAGTCAGTGGGTTTAGGTTAAATGGTGATTTTAAGCTGCCCATAGGCAAGAATGGTTGTCTTTCTCTGTTTTAACCCATACATATTCAGACTAAAACCTGAGGACCAAACTGCTTTAGATAATAAGAAGTCAGCCTGTTTAAGAACTGCACCACATCTAGCAGTCTGCATGTATTCTAAAGAGAGCTAAGATTTCCAACACCTTTTGCCTTGAAGTGATTACAGCAGCTAGGACGTAAACATGTTTGGACACTAGGGATTTTTTCTAACCACAGCCTGGAGCTGCAGGTGTTTTTCCAAATGTTTGTTTTGTAATTATGAAAGTTCATAATTGCCACACACAGACACACTGATTATTGTCTGAAGTACATCATTTTGGTTTCAGTTTTAAGGATTTGGATGTCATCAAAGTTAAATTTTCTTTATAAGGAAGAACTTGTTCATTGTGTGAACTTTAAAGTCCTCTTCTCATCCTTAGCAGCGATGATCTGTGGAGGAGTTCAGCTGTGTTGTTATTAACGTCAGAGACGTCACTGAGCACAGTGGCAAACGCATCAGTCATGGTACTTTTTGTTTTGAGGTCAGGATTATTTTACAGTGGGGTTTTTTAGAATATTTTGTTTAAGGACAGTACAGCAGAGGCTGCTTTTTGCTATAATGTATGTCTGTACCAAAGTATAAAGATATTACAAAAACACATTTATCAGGATTTATATTAGACTTGATTTGGCATGAAAGCTCACAAACAGCTGAGTTCTCACTTTTCATGAAATTTAAATCTACAGCTCGACTGTTACTGATATTTTGTTTAAAGATGAGATTTGATTTCCATTGTTCTTTATTGTCTATTGTCTGGCATTTACGTCAGCAGGTGCAGGAGCAGTCCAACCTGTATCACGGTTAACCCCATACACCCAACCCAGAAACTCTTCGACCTCCCCCCTGAGGCAGGAGTATGCACAGCTTCTTCTCAAAGGCTGTAAGAGTGGTCACCTCCAAACCTCACTGGCCTCATTCTTGCTGTGCTGCTGCACTGGTTTTTAAAATGCCACACCTGGGTCTTTTGTCTATTTATTATAAAATATGTAGTCATAAATTATATTTCTTATTATTATTTTTATTATTTTTATTTTTAATCTCATAAAAGCTGCTTTCTCCTGCACACGGTGGTTGCTCACCTGCAAGTCCCTTTGCAACCCACCTCTGCCCTTACTCCTCCATACATGCAGTAGCTGACTTAACCCTCTGGGGTGAATGGATGCGCTGGCGCGTCCAAATCACTTGACCAATTTGAGACGACACAGCAACAAGATGTAGCCTCCCAGATCAAGTGCGGAGTTCAAGCTATATTGCAGTTTTTAAAAGTTTTAAAATCTTTTTAGCAAAACTTGTGCATAGGTTTTTTAATTTCAAGTTATGGAAATTATTTGTTAAATTTGTGATTGTTACAGTAAAAAATAAAGTACTTTTTTGTACTTGGATTTAGATTTAGTCTCAGATCAATCCTGTTAATGCAGTATGTCAAAATGATAAAATAACAGTAAATTCAGATATTAGATTGTGCTGAAAAGAATAGTACAAAACAAGGCAAGGTAAATAATTTTTAAAGGTGAGGTAAAATCAAAAGTTGGAAGAAATGGCCAGTTATACTGTGGAAGAAAGAGGGAAAGTCAATATATCAGTCATCACAGGCTTCTGACTATAGAGGCTCTAGACTTGTGTTTTGAGACCAAGTTCCAGCTTAGCCACCAGAAAGGGATCCCTCTAACTCTACATCATCTCTTTACAAAAACAATAACAACTGAAATCACCAGTGATGAAACATGAAAGTCGGGACTTTTTAGATAGTTCAGGATTTTTCCCCTTAAAGCTGTCTTTCTGGGTGTTCATGTTTGTCAGTGTTGAAAACACTTTTATTAAAAAAAGAAAAGTACCAAGTATGTGTGGAAAATAAGACTAGGCTTATTTTTGAGAGTTGTTTCTTAGTCTTCAGTGTCAGTTTCGGGGAAGAAAGAAATTATGTAAGAAAAAAAAACCTGAGTGTTTTTAGTTTCCCTGAAATTACTTCAGCTTCTGTAATTTAAACTTTTCTATCAAGTTTCATGAACATGGCACTTTTCTTTCTTTCTTTTTTAACTTGCTGTAGGGACAATGAGATAAAAGAGCAAACAGCACTGTAAACCTGATTCACAATGTGAAAATACTTTTGCATGTTAAAAATATATTAAAACTCTTAAAGTCTTTGTTGTGACGCTCCAAACTGAAGGCAGCGGAAACTAGTTTGCCTTTGAGATGTGATAGAACTTGTTCCACTAATGGCAAACTAAATGGACTGCACATAGTTTAGAAATATATTTACTCGTGTAATTAAGATCAAACTAACTAAAGACCAAAACACCGCAGAACCATATGTGACCAAGTGGACTTCAGGGACTAGTAGCCACAACTCATCATCACTCAGGAAGCTCCACTCTGAATTAGCAGACAAAGGTAGGGGTGGACTACTTGGGCAAAGTGTAGGGGGCCCCGGGCAAACCTGTGCCTTTCAACATGTCACAATGGAGATGTCGAACTGATGATAAATGATGCTATATTTTGTAAAACAACATTTTATCACCTATTTTTAACAACTTTCTCAGGGGCAGACCTAAAGAAATGTTCTTAGGGTGGCATGAGGGCAGCAGGGAAGCTACTTTTTTCACACAAAAAAGTCAGAAATCTGTAGTGTTACGAAAAAAATTATATATTATCACCAAAAATGTAAAACAAATTTTTGATGTTTCACTGGGTTAATGCACTTATCTTCATGCTTTTTCCAGAGTGTACTAATCAAACATCTGCACTCAAAAAAAATGAAATTGGGTGGTTGTTAGATTTACAAGATGGAAACTTCTAATTTGAACAAAATAATTTAACATTTCTATGGTGAACATAATTAAATCAAATAGACAATTTGATGTAAGCTACCAATCAGTGTAAAATTAAAACAAAAAACCAAAAAATATCTTTCACATCTCGTAAGTCTTACACGAAATAAAAAAATACATTTTTTTTATTTCACCATGTGTGCAGAGTGTTATATTTTTTAGTGCTGGCTTGATATTACTAAAAAATTGGGTGCATCAACACCTGATATATGGATAACATCTATAGAGGTGCATATAGCCAAACCTTTACAGGCTTGCTGTCGGATACTTGTGCACCCCTGCCTCCTCAGTGCCATGTGAAAGTGTTTTTTTCTGAAGCTGGAGGGGTTATTACGAAAAAAAAAGGGAAACTCACTGAGTCCAAGCACAGTGGAAAAAAATATATTATTTCTTAATAAGACTGACTAAAGTTTTCAGGAGCACAATCACTGTGTCATCATTTGAAAACACTGCAAAAGTTTTACATAAACGTCTCCTGTCTGATTGGATTTATTTAAAGAAGAGGGCGTCACTAAGTGACCAGCAGGGAGGGGCTGTGTGCACGTGAAGCCTCAAGAAAAAAAACTTACATAAAAACAAATACCGGAAATCACTTTAGCAGAGACCTTGAATAATAATACAATTAGTAATAGTATAAAGAGCAGTAATGCTATTACTAGTTTAGTCTCTGTAGTTTTTCCTCCAGGTCATTAGGTGGCGATGATCCGGCCGATAAAATTAAATCACATGATTTCCGGCGGAACGTTAAGAAAAAATAACAAAACAGGGTGGTATGGCAAAGAGGTTGTGATGAAGCCAAGGCATAAAGCTCAGTTACCGTTGATATTACTATGTGTAGCGTTCGGATTAGGAGGTGAAGGAGCGGACACCGAGGGGAAGCCAATGTTAGCCAGTATCGCATTGTTTTGTGCACCATGAATTTACGAGGGCTCTTTCAGGACTTCAACCCCAGGTAACGTAGCTGCGTCTCAGCTAGCACCGTAGCTAGTTAGCATGGATTAAGTGTTCGGTGAGATCGTCTCTCTGCTGTTTGGAAAAGAAAAAGTAAAAAGCAGACTCACTATGCGTGTGGAAATCACGTTCTCTGGGTTCTGGTTAACCTACAGGGATACCTCTCAATAAAGTAACTAATGCTAACTAAAACCTAACCAAGGCCCGGCTAGCAGGCTAGCTGTTACCACCGATGATTTGCTAGTTAAAGACAATTTAGTGTTGTCTACCGTGGATTGTGGCTCTAGTTGTGTCACGTTTCCTTTTGTTTCAATTGCCACTTTTCGGTAAAAACAAAAAAAACAAAGCGAAAATAAAAAATGATTAAAATAGAATTATTTGGCATTTGTGCACATATAGTAGGTATGGGTACACAAGAAATACTGTTCTAAAATGTAACCAAAATTGTATTTGTTAAAGTTGTTCTTATGTTGGCCTGCTTTTCTTAAATTGGAGCAAGTTTGTCCACATGATTGCTGACAGCTAAGACTCAATACCCTACATGCTGCACTCAACATATCTATCAAACTACATGTCAGAAAACAAGAAAACAAAGTTTTAGAAATCTGTCAAAAACTATTCTAAGCTCTAAGGCAGGGGTGTCTGACTCCAGGCCGCTAGGGCCAGAGTCTGCAGGCTCTAGAGCTCACCTTGGGTCAACACACCTGAATCAAATGATTAGTTCATTACCAGGCTTCTGGAGAACTTCAGGACATGTTGAGGAGGTAATTTAGCCATTTAAATCAGCTGTGTTGGATCAAGGACACATCTGAAACCTGCAGGACCCTCGAGGCCTGAAGTTCGACGCCTCTGCTCTAAGCGTTAACCATTACACAAAGTTTTAAAAAGGATTTTTGTAATTACCATTGGGTTATGGCAGCTGTGGTATAAACCTGTCTAATACAGTTGTTAAGCATCTTATAATAAATTTTCAAGTGGGGAAAATGAGCTTTCCATATTTGCCTTTAACTATAAAAACTGCAAAGCTGCATCTTTTTTCATCATCATGTCTTTCATTTTTCCTCTCTTCTGTTGCAGCAAGTTCCTAATCTATTCTTGCCTGCTGCTCTTCTCCGTGTTGCTGTCCTTGAGGCTGGATGGAGTTATCCAGTGGAGCTACTGGGCTGTGTTTACGCCAATATGGCTGTGGAAGCTGTTGGTCATCATCGGGGCGTCCGTGGGCACCGGAGTCTGGGCCCACAACCCTCAGTACAGGTTAGACTCTCTCACTTGTATGTGAATTGGTAGTTGGTGTAGACTGTAAAAAGATAGACGTTCACTATTGCTTAGTGAAGTCCCCTTGTGAAGCTTTTCCTCAGGCTCTGTTTTATTTTCGTAGTCATTTTTACAATTCATTTTTTATTCAGTCTGACCTGAGTGTAGTGATTGAACCTTTAAAGTAAATAATGGAAGTGTTTACTGGGGTAACAGAGCGAGGGAAGCGGGGCAGTTTTCCCAAAGTCTCCTGTAGCATCAGAAATGTTTTTTTGCAAGCAGAGGAGTTGTTGCCTGCTGGACAGTGAAAAGAATGCAGGGTCGGCTTCACTTTCTCAGAGAGAAGCTCTGTCCATCTATTCTTGCTGTCTGTGGTTTAAAGTAACTAGCAGACTCTGAACTGTGCACAGCTCTTTGCATTGGTGTTAGGTAAACAACTGTATACTGTTACATTTACCAGAGCAGTACTGATTTTTAGAGTGATGAATTTGTTAGACAAAATAAATATGCAAATATGATGATGCTCACCCAGACTTCATCTTCTTATTGTTGTCGTCTCGTTTTAGACTTAAATCAGTGGCTTACTTTGATCATTTGACAGATATAATCAGCGGTCGCCGGTCTGTACTACAAATATTAAAATTTGGGCTGATGGTTAAAATTCATAGCTTAACGAACGTGGCATGTGAACACAGTCATAAGTTTGTCACATGGTGCTCAATGTAACTGCCAATATTAATGATTTGTACACCCTATAAGGATGTTGACATTTCCATTACCCTGGGGAATGTTAATGAATTCATCTAGGAGAAGATTGGGAACATACGTTTAAGTATGGTGATAGCAGCAGCCCAGGTTCAGCTTGAATGCTGAGATCAGGGCACCTGAAGTGTTTTAACCTTTATGATGACCTCTGTCAGGGCTGAGGGGGAGACGTGTGTGGAGTTCAAGGCCATGCTGATAGCGGTGGGGCTCCACGTCCTGCTGTTGATGTTCGAGGTGCTGGTGTGCGATCGGGTAGCGAGAGGAAACTACTTCTGGCTTCTCGTCTTCATGCCACTCTTCTTTGTGTCACCCGTTTCCGTAGCAGCGTGCGTCTGGGGGTTTAGACACGACCGCTCTCTTGAGGTAAGGCGTCTGATTTTTATGAGGAAACTCAGAAACTATGATCGTAAAATATCACAAAACTACACTTTTCCAGCTGTTTGTCAAGATTCAGTGTCAAAAGATACAACAGTGAGGGCTTTGTACTTTTGTTATCCTCAAATGTTTTATTCATCAATCTTTAGTCAGAGTCGTTTGAATTAAAACCTGATCCGTGTCTGAAGTCTTCTGCATACGGTTCTTGCATTATCAGACTCAACTCAGGCAAAGTTGCACTTTTTTAAACATCATATATGAAAAAGCAAGAAATGGTCTTAAGGGTAGTGCTTTCTGTGAGTTGAAGGTGTTCATGACGTGTGAAGGTCTTGGGTTTGAATCCACTGGCCAGCTGTGAAGCGTTTGCATGTTCTCCCAATGCCGGCGTAACTCTTGGTCTCCAACAACACTGGTTGTTTTTGTTGCATTTTCTGCATGGCTTTAAATCCCACTGAGAGTGTTCATATGTAGGATGCGTGTAACAGAATAGGCAGTTTAATCAAAGTACAGTCCTGAACTTCTGTCCTGATTGTTTCTCCCTGTCTTCCTCTCCTCAGCTGGAGGTGTTGTGTTCAGTAAATATTCTGCAGTTCATCTTCATCGCTCTGAAGCTGGACAAGATCATCAACTGGCCTTGGCTGGTGAGGCACACAAAACATGCCACTTATTGTGCTTCCATTGTGACCACAATCTGTGCTGGTCCTGAAGCCCTCTTTGAACTTGCTTTAATGACACCCTGCCTGTGTTTGTGTGCTGCAGGTGGTGTGTGTCCCACTGTGGATCCTCATGTCCTTCCTGTGCCTTGTTGTCCTTTACTACATCATCTGGTCAGTCCTCTTTCTCCGCTCCATCGACATCATCGCCGAGCAGCGGCGAACTCACATCACCATGGCGATCAGCTGGATGACTATCGTCGTACCGCTTCTCACATTTGAGGTGAGGCGTGAAGTCTGCATCATCTCCTGTTGTTTAAAATGGCTAGCTGTTTGGTCTCCAATGTAAAGGCCAAGACTCAGCTGTCCATCTGCATCTTAAGGATAAAGGACACTCTTTCAAGGATGCCAATGTTCACATTTTGGACAGAGAGGACAGATGGTTTGAAAGAGGAGTGAAAGAAGACATCTATGTCCACTGTGAGCGACCATGTTTGAACAGAGGCGGGG